ACTGTCGGCAGACAGGCTACTGGGCTAGATGGACCTTTGGTCTGACCCAGTACGGACGTTCTTATGTTCTTTTGATTCATATTCATTTGCAGCCTGGATCCAGTGTACCCTGCTAATCCCGGGTCTGGTTTGACCTCCAGAACCGAAGCTGCTGTAAATTGCTCTCAACTACAACATACCCTGAGGAACAAATTGCAGCAGGGGACAGAGGGAGAACAGATGCTTTGTGCAAAACTCCTCTGATCACCCTCCTAGCCATGCTGGGGTTTAAAGCGTTTATGCTGGGGGAATGCTGAAGGGCTCGCTATGCTAGCTCACCAGTGGTTTACGCTTGTTCAGAGTGCAAAGACCATATAAAGCGTTACCTCTGGTGTGAGTGAGTGGAGAATTCTGACCCAGGTGACATCTTGTTGCATGTGTGTAAATGACATCATAGCATTCAAGACAGCCGTGAATCAGCCCTTAGAAATCTTTCAAATAGGACAAGAGAGTCCAAGACAACAGCGAAAAAGCGCAAGAGAGGTTTTGCCTTTAGCATAAACGTCAGAAAACAGAGTAAAGGGGATGACGATAGAACTGGAGGTTCCTACCAACATCACTTGAGCCGATTTGGTGATCAATGAGACGTAAGATTTCAAAACCCCATAGTGAAATCCAGGCGTTAGCAGTTTGCGATGCTGGTGCCACTTTTGTCCTTGTAAGGTCAGTAATCCTTTTCCTGGAGGAACACAGGCAACAGAGAGCAGTTCATTTTGGCCACTGGAGAAGGGAGCTGCTGAGGAAACTGTTGTGTTTGGGGCAGAGGGGTGGAATTGGGGCTTTTTCAACATTGTTTGCAAATCAATTCAAAATCTTTTGCTTGTTTTAAGGAAAAAACGGAACTGAAAATGAAAACTGTTTGCTTTTCTAAAATCATTTTGGGGTTTCAGGGAGTTAGTGATTCCCTCGCACGTGTTCCCCCTTTTTTCCATGAAAAAGTGGGGAGTTATTGCATTGCAAAACTGGGAGAAGAAGGGGAATCATCAAACCCCCTAAACGTAACCAAAAAAAAAAGAGAGAGAGAGAGAGTAGGTTTTTGGTTTTGAAAAATGAAACACTTTTTGGTTTTCAGGGGATTGTCAAAAATTCCGAAAATGTCTTGAAAAGCCCCACATTTATTTAACTTAATTTAAATTTAAACTTCCACCTAATTGAAGTTCATTTAACAAGGACATTTTCTCCTAAAAAATGTTACATATAAAAAAATGCAGAACATACAATCAGATCATTTCTGCACACACCCACTGCCTTCGCCTCAAGGAATTTGGGTCTGGGATCAATTGAATTGCTATTTACACAGTTCAAGTTTGAGGAAGCCGTGCAGCTGGTATTTCTGGCTCGACTGGAAGAAAGTGCTTATATCTAATGAGGTCGTTTCTTCTTGCAAAATCTCCGGCCTGGCTTTTTTCCTAAATTCAAGAGGTTCAGAGAAGCAGCTTCGCCAAAACAAACTTTAGCATCCCCTTACCTGCACCCCCAATAGCTACATTTTATCCAGTTTGCTGGTACCAAGGTAACTACTTTACAAAATCTTATTTCATATGAATATTTATCTCTAAGGTGGAAATTAACTGGGTTTACCCATCATTACCCTATAACAAGCTTTCCCCGCATTCCTGGTACCATTCACTTACTGTGAGACTGTAATCACCCTCTTGGCAATAGAAAGCAGAGAGACCGGAGGGGAGCAGGAATATTCCTTCAGGGTGAGGACAAAGCCTGGGAAAGGTGAGTCAGCTAAGACACACAATTGGAAAAAGCTCCTGTGTGTGACCTTGACACAAGGGCAGGAACTGGGCGTCTGGGCGATGCTGATTGTTACAAAGAACTGAGGAAAGGACTGGGGGGGAAAAGTCCTGAGAAAAGGCAGGATGGAGTCCAAGGAAGCTGGAGCAAGGTGTCTGAGGGTATGTCTACACTACAGGAGTCCAAGGAAGCTGGAGCGAGGTGTCTGAGGGAGCAGATCTTGGCTGCTTATGCCAAGGTCCCTGGACAGGAGCCCAGTGTAGATGCTAGAACTGGGTTCTCCTATTTGTCCCTGACATAAGGGGATAAGGATTAAAAGCCTGGGAGAAGAGTGAGAGGACCTTCGGGATGAGATTTGGGTCTGAGGACCAGACAAAAGGACCATAAACTTCAATTTGCTGGAGTTTGTCACCTCGGAAGGGATGTGACAGCACCCTGACTTGGCTGGACGGCCGAGTCACAAGCAAAGGAAATTGCTGCTACATCTCAGCCAGCCATAGTGATGGTGCCTGCAGTGAATCAGCTATTCTGCAAGACCTGGTCAACATTGTGACTTTATTTCAAAATACACCCCCTTCTCCAAGTCAAATTTATAAGCGAAGTATCCACCACTGTGTCTAGACTACAATTTGCAATCGGCTCTTTTGTTGGTTGTAATGATGGAAGCCAGAGTCTGCCAAATGTCTGCTGGATCCATAGCTTCATCCATAGGGAGTGCTATTCTGGAAGAGGTAGGAGACAGTAGCATTCACAGAACTCTTTCGTCTGTATTTCTTATAGGTCATGATCCTGTGTCAGGGCTACCCTTTTAAAAAGATCTTGAAACTTCTTTGAATTGTCTCCTGGTGGTGGGATGTTGACAATAACTGCCTCGTCTGGTGAAGAGGACGAGTTGTGCGCAGGGGACCTGTTCTCACCCTCTGACAGTTTTCTATGTCTGTATGGGCTGGGGAATTAGGCTCTGTAGCTGGGGCTGTAAGTTGAGGAAAACCAGGTGGTGGCTTAGAAACTGTGCTGCTCATTCTGAAATAGTTATTTCGAAATAACAGCAGCGTGGACGTGCCGGTGAAGCTATTTCGAAATAACGACTCCCCAGAGTCATTCAGACCTATCACTCCCCAGTGCTTCCTGGGGTCTGAGTCTGATACACATCCACATTAATGGACTGATTTCAAGGCTTTCCCATAGGCTTTGTCTTCTACACTGGCATGAATTTCCGGAAATGCTTAAAACAGAATAGTTTTCATTATAAGTATTTCCGGAAAAAGAGCGTCTACACTGGCAGGCTGCTTTTCTGGAAAAGCCCTTTTTCTGGAAAAGCGTCTGTGGCCAATGTAGATTCGCTTTTCCGGAAAAGAGCCCCGATCGTCATTTCCGCGATCGGGGCTTTTTTCCGGAAAAGACTACTGGGCTGTCTACACTGGCTCTTTTCCGGAACAGTGTTCCAGAATAAGGACTTATGCCCGAGCAGGAGCAGAATAGTTTTTCCGGAATAGCAGCTGATTTTGTACAGTTCAACGTCGTTGCTTTTCCGGAAATTCAAGGGGCCAGTGTAGACAGCTCGCAGCTTATTCCGGAAAAGCGGCTGATTTTCCGGAATAAGTGGCCCAGTGTAGACACAGCCATAGTGTGTACACTCTAGTTCGAATGTGTTAAATCGGGAGTTATTAAGTCGAATTTACTAATTTTCAAGTAGTTTCTTCATGTAGACATGGCCCAAGTGCCTCTAAATATTTGTCATGTTTCATATACCATATATTTTTTAAAATGGAAATGAATCCAATAACACAAGTATTTAAATATCACAGATTACATAGACTCTTCAGGCAGGCATGAAACATACTACTTAGATGGAGAGCCAAAGGCGGGTAGGGACAAATTTGGGCATGTTGTGACTCCACTAATTTGAACAACTTCATCTAATCTACTACTCTGAGTTTATATGGTGCCGGCCCAATGGGGCCCTATGTTTGGTTGGCCCTGCCTTACGCACTACTGTAATTAACATGAGTAGTAATAATAAGGGATGGAGTTGCCCCGGGAGATTTTGTGTATCAAAACAATCTAAAAGAATCTTGCTTTGCAATCACAGAAACACAAGGATTGATTCTCAGTGGGTGTATATCAGAATAGCTTCTCCATATCAATAGTGATGGCTAAAAGCATGAATATACGTACCGATCCATGGAAGAACGTAGCGATAGACAACATTATCCTTGGGTTCTGTAAGATTGTGATAGGGAGAGAGAAGAACAGTTTTGTGTTAGTGATTTGAGCTGCACTAATTGACAACATTGGTCATTCGTAGTCCAAGACAGCCTGTCTACAGACCTGTTGTGATGGATGTGGAGTTGCTAGTAAACTCTGGGTTTGTCTAGAACGGTGATCAAAGCTGTTCATAGCATGCCATGAACTAACTATCCATCTGGATGGTGCAACCATGCATTAAAACTTCCCTAGCACACATTGAACTGTTCTGCACTAAGAAACTTTTTAATGTCAATTTCCAGCCAACTTGAGACGAGCCCTTAGAATACTACATAAAATCCTAGAACACTAGAACTGGAAGGGACCTCGAGAGGTCATCGAGTCCAGTCCCCTGCCCACATGGCAGGACCCAGCACCGTCTAGACCATCCCTGATAGATGTCTGTCTAACCTGCTCTTAAATATCTCCAGAGATGGAGATTCCACAACCTCCCTAGGCAATTTATTCCAGTGTTAACCCCCCTGACAGTTAGGAAGTTTTTCCTAATGTCCAACCTAAACCTCCCTTGCTGCAATTTAAGCCCATTGATTCTTGTACTATCATCAGAGGCCAAGGAGAACAAGTTTTCTCCCTCCTCCTAGTAACTCCCTTTTAGATACTTGAAAACTGCGTTCATGTCCCCTCTCAGTCTTCTCCTTTCCAAACTAAACAAGCCCAATTCTTTCAGTTTTCCCTCACAGCTCATGTTCTCTAGACCTTGAATCATTTTTGTTGCTCTTCTCTGGACCCTCTCCAATTTCTCCACATCTTTCTTGAAATGCGGTGCCCATAACTGGACACAATACTCCAGCTGAGGCCTAATCAGCGCAGAGTAGAGCAGAAGAATGACTTCTCGTCTCTTGCTCACAACGCTCCTGTTAACTCATTCCAGAAACCTGTTTGCTTTTTTTGCAACATATGTTTGTCTGGGCATTATTTGGGGGAACTATCCAGGAAGACAGACAGTAACCTAGAGAAGAGCTCACTAACAAACACCTGTTACTAGTAACTGTGATATGCTAGCTCCATTTCCCAGGACTAAATCAGCCTGGGAAGTGGGAAATTGGCTTAGCTTCTGATGGTTAAGAGGAAAATTTGCACACACATCTCTCCCCCCCACAATCTTAGGCTGCCTATAGCACCTCCCAAAGCAAGGAGAGTGTTTAAGTAAGATGAACGTACGTATAGGCCTTTTGTTGTCTTACAAACCTTTCCCCTTGCCATGCTGTATTTCTCCTACTCAGTTTAAGAAGGTTGTTTTAGATCTTCTAGTTGCTGCTGGTCACTAGATCCCAGAGGGAAGCATGCTAGATACCCAGCTTAGTGTTATCATAGAATCATAGAATAATAGGACTGGAAGGGACCTCGAGAGGTCATTGAGTCCAGCCCCCCCCCCCGCCCTCAAGGCAGGACCAAGCATTTTTACACCTTAGTATTCTGGTCTAGAGCTGAAGGCTTGAGGCCACCTGTAAGGGGTTGCCCCCAGAAAAGGGGACAGAGGTGCGACCTCCATCATGCCGTACACAGAGACAGGAATGTTGCTCCCACTCTGTGCTTTGTCTCTGGGATATGCAAATAGCCAGGGGATGGCATATCTGATATCTATGTGAGAGGGTTCGTCTGCCCGGGCAGCTCTCTGTCTGTGTGTCTGTCTGTTTGTTCAAGAACGCCTACTAAAACGGCAAGCGCTAGGGCCACCAAATTTGGTGCAGAGCTTCCTCATCTCCTAACTTCAAGCCAGGTCAGCGTTTGTTTGTGCTTGGAAAATGGGACATGCCTGGAATGGGATTGCGTCTCATCAAACCCTACAGAAAGGAGACAGACTCACCAGGCAGGTGGAAGAAGCTGGGTGCCCAATATTAATTAACTTGCATTTATCAGCAACACACTTTATCTACCATTATGTGGCTCATTCAGCTAGCTTGGTTTGGGTCATTGGAAATGCCTCACAGTCTTGCTTTAGTCTTGACTAACCAAAATAAAACAATGAGGAGTCCTGTGGCACCTTGGAGACTTGCCAATTTATTTGGGCACAGTCATCAGAGGCAGCCAACAAAGTGGTTTTTACCGAGGAAAGCTTGGACCCAAATAAATGGGACAAAGTTGAATTAAGATACACCACTTCAGCTACATTAATTGCGTAGCTGAAGTCGAAGTAGCTTAACTCGGCTTTTGGGGCTGTCCATACTGCAGGAAGACGACGTGTCCTTCGACTTCCCTTCCTCCTCGTGAAAGCAGGGTTACCGCCATCGACTGGAGAGCCCGTTTCACTTTGAGTTAGCTCTCTTAAATAGACCGCTAATTCGAACCCTGGAAGATCGACAGCAGCAGATTCAGTCTTTTTCTGTAGTGTATACGTGCCTAAGGACTCCTCGTTGTTTTTGCAGATACAGGCTAACATGACTATCTCTCTAAGACTAATAACCGTGTAATTTATAATTATTGCTGCCTCAGTGCTCACTCCTATAAACACACACATAACACCCTCCATCCCCAGCTGTTACCTCACCTGACCTTGTGTAACTCCTTTGGTGAGGGTGCTTCCAAAATACTACACGGAGCCTGTAGCGGACTTGGCCCCAAACTTCAGAAGGAATTGGTGGCAGGACATGGGTGGTGGGTAATGTAATATGAGGGGCTGGGGACACATCGTGTGTCAACACAGCTCCTTGGTAGCCAGGGAAGGCTGGGCTATGATGTGTGAGCCCTGGTCCTCAGCTGGGATTAGGTTGGGCTTGAGAGACGAAGGTCATGAAGGGGCATGGTCTCAGCAAAGGGGTGTGGCTTTGGGCAGAAGGGGCGGAGCTTCAGCTGCCTTCCCCAGCTGAGCTTTCACCTGCAAGGTTTGGGATTCTACTTCCCACACTGACTAGGGTCTGGGGCTGAGACAGAACTGGCTAGCAACACTACCAGAGACAGTCATAACAAGCCAGAACTCCAGCTTTCTATTGTGGCTGTGTTTGGAGTGTTGCAGGGAGAGAAGCGTCACACCCACTGTCCACCCTATTCCTATTCTTATAGGATTTTGGGGACACTGCGGACTGTGATCCCAGCACAGACCTGAAGCCCACAAGGCGGTAGAGAGTCATGGTCAGGCTACCAAGAGCCTACGGACTTACACTCTGGAATCCAGTCCAGAGAGCAACAAGAACGATGTGTCCAGCCTTGAAGCGGAGACTTCATAAGAACATCGTTGTGTATTGATTTTGCTGTTTCGTTTTAAGCCAGCCCCCAGCTTCAGCGCCCCGACACCCATCAAAGTCCGAGCCTCACCTCACTATCTGTCTCGGCAGGGGCTGGGAGGGATCGAGGAGTGGTGTGTACTGACTGTACATGTGGGCGGGGTAGAGATTCTGTATTGTTGTCTTTCTCTTTTACGAGGCTGATCCCTTATCCTGAGCTTCCCAAACATAATCAAGAGTTACTGTTTCATCCCTCTGGGAATGGTGATAGCTATTTTATGTGTGTGTGTAACCCACACACCTCGTGTGGTTACTGAGTACTGAAAGTGGCACCTAGACCACTGCAACAGTTAAGATCAAGAGACCTCTACAGCATGGGCTGGGAGCCAGCTGGCTTTTAGCTCAGAGGGTAGAGGCTCCTATAGTCAGCTCCTGAGGTCCCAGGTTCAAATCTGCCTTGGGGGTGGTTATCAAGCCACACTAGGGCCGTGTCCACACTCAGGGGTTCTTTTGAAAAAAGTACCCTTTTTTCGAAAGAACTTCCCCTGCGTCCAGACTCAAGCCGCGTTCTTTCGAAATTATTTCGAAAGAACTCGGCTTTTCTTTCGATGGCGGTAAACCTCGTTTCACGAGGAAGAACGCCTTCTTTCGAAAGTTCCTCTTTCGAAAGAAGGCGTTCTACAATGTAAAGAGGCCGTCTTCGAAAGAGAGCATCCAGACTCGCTGGGTGCTCTCTTTCGAAAAAGCGGATTTCCTCTATCGAAAGATCCGCCTGCTGTCTAGACGCGATCTTTCGAAAGATGCTTTCGAAAGAGGCTCTTTCGAAAGAAGCCTGCAGTCTAGACACAGCCTAGGTGTGTGGGTTACCTGTGCTCTTGACTGACACTGCTCTTTAGGAGACTGTGTGTTCAATATCCCCCACCCCTCCAGGGACAAGTTCTTTGCACTTAGAGGGGTTCTTTGGAGGGAGGTACCAGGCATCCTTATAGGTAAACCCAAGACCCTTAACTCTAAGGAGAAAAGGCAGCAGGCCCCATGTCAGGGCTGGGGTTGAACCTGCTTGCTCAGTTCCTGACAGGCCTCTCAGCAGAATCTCATCTTGGAGGACTTTAACAAGAGGGTTGCTCACATTCAGAGGCAAAAGGCCCCCCCTCTGTGGTGCAGTGGGGTGTGCTTCACACTCTAGTGGCCCTAGGCCCACTCTGATTGGGCATTCACTGGGTGCTGTGTTGTGCTGTGGGTGACCCCTACTGGCCTGTGTCTGTAAGCACTGCCCGGGGGGGGGGGGGGGGGGGAGGCGACTAGCAACTTCACACCTGGGCAGGGGCAGGGCCGGCCTTAGGCCGATCCACCCAATTCCCCGGCGTGGGGCCCTGCACCTGAGGGGGCCCCGCGCCCAGGTGAGTGACGCATGCACAGTGCGCCGGGAGCGCAATGCTTACACGGGGGCCCCCTGGGCGCATGGCGCATGCGCCGTGCCAACCGGGGCCCCGCGCATGTGCGGCCGCACCCCCGGAATCAGGCCCTGCGCTCTCTAGAGCTGGCCCTGCCAGGGGAAGGAGTTTAAACAAAGGAAGGGGTGTGGCTACCTGTGGGGAGTGAGGGACCAGTGGCTGAGAGAGGGGGTAGTCTTGGCTGGGCAAACATGAAGAGAACAGAGTAAGTTGAGTACTGGGGGCTCAGGGGCCTGTGTACCCTGCCCCAAGAGGTCCAAGGCTGCCTGCCCCTTACTCCGATGTTCACATCAAACCCAGGCTGTGCTGTATCTCTGAGAAGCAATAAACCCTCTTTACTCTGCTGGCTGGCAGAGTTACATCTTGCTGCGGGCGGGGGTGCAGGGTCGGGGGTCCCTGATGCGCCATCACACCCTCTTACCTCCTCTGGCACAGACAGCCTTCACGTAATCGGCATCGTTGAGGCTCACAAACACTACAAATCTTCCAAACCACACGGGGAAGGCCCGGGTGTACTTCTTGCTCCACTCCAATGCCTTGTCCAGATCTTTCCCTCTTCCGCTGAACTGCAACAGGGATGGAGGAAAAGCAAGACAGAAGCAATAAATAAGGGCTTTGCCAAAATCTCTCTCCTGACAACCTTTCCAATGTCAGAAGAATGAACAGAGCAAAATCTGAAAACTGAGATTCATCTGACCATGCTTGGTATATAAGCACTATGATTCAATAACCCATTGCCGTTACAATGGGCTGAACAAACATTTAAGTAAACTTCCTTCCCTAATGCGCTCCAGTATCAAGATGCACCATCTTCCACCCACAAAGTCACACTTCAGAGATTTACGATGTCATTTGATAGCAGTGGTTAATAGCCTCGTAAAGAGCTTTACCATAAGGGGTTAGAAGAAACAACCAGCCACAGCTATGAGTGGATTATGCAACCTTGCAACTAAGCACATTAAAGAGCTATCACAGCAGATAAAATGATAAGATAAGACAATCTAATCCAATTTGTCAACTTCTATGATATATCCTCAGGTTTTCCGATAACACATTCCAGATGCTTTAGGTTGTTTACTAATAAAACAACCTTTAAAAACCTGAAAGGACACCAGATAAGTAAACATGTGCTTCTTTTTGTTGCTTTTCTCTGTATTCCTAACAGGCATCTAGTGTTACATACACACAAATAATGTCGTGGGTATAACCTGGAAGGAAACTGAGTCACAGAATAATTTCAAAGGTCACTGACTTTTCAACCACATTGATTGCATTTGTTTGAGGGTGAAAGTTTGCTTAGTTTTTGTCCTTTTAAAAATGTTGCCTTCTCCATTTTCCAGAGGGTGTGCAAGTAAAAAGAGGAATTATTATTTGACAGTGCCACATGCTTTTATGGTTCTGTAAAAATTAATGAATATCTAAATTACTAAATACTAGGTATGAATGACCTGTGAAATTATCTTTGATCAGAATTAGAATGAAACACTGAATTTCAAAGTTGGCTGGGAAATGAAATGTTTGGGGGAAAAAATCATTTGGGGTCCACTGAAATTTTCCATTTAAAGAAAATCAAAATGTTTTTCAGTTTTAAATTTATTTAAATTTTTTGCATGGTAGTCAATGCTGATTTTTTATATTGTTCTATTTTACAAATTATTTTTACATTTTGCATTTTATAGATATAAAATTCAAAACACAAAAAGCTGTTTTGAAACAAACACTTCATTTTGATTTTATCCTAAACAAAATTGAGTCAAAATTGATATGTTTCCATTGGACTATTTAGATTTCAGTGAATTGGATTTTACAATAAAAGCATGCCCGTTTGAAAAATTTTCAACCAGCTCTGGATGCATCTAGACAGCGGAGCTATTTCAGGATACCAGAGGTATCCCGAAACAGTGACCCCGTGTCTTTTAAATGTGCCCGTTATATTGAAATATTTTTCGAAATAACGGGCGCGTTGTTTTGACATCCCTGTAGCCCTTGTTCCATGAGGGTTACGGGATCTGTCAAAATAGTGCGTTATTTCAAAATACAGTCAAAACAAGATACGTAATTTGCGTAGCACAAATTGCGTATCTTATTTTGAGTTTAGGGTGCTGTGTAGACGCATCCTTAATGACAAAGGAGAAGACAAAAGTTATTTGTCTGATATGTGCATAGGCTAAGTCCCCCATTTAATCATGCATTGTTTACCCAATTGTATTTTACAGCTGACTTTTAATTTGTGCAACAACTTTGATTTCTGAGGCCCCCCACACATTGATCATGGGGGCTATCGCATTGAAATAAATAATTGTCCTCACAATGGGGAAGCATCAAATGTCGTCCAAGGCAGGCTCCGTGAATGTAGACGCGCTACCTCAGACTCAGAGTCCCAGGAAGCGCCCTGGGGAGCTACGGGAGGCTTCCCAGAGGCCAATTAGTTCACATTAGCGGCACAGGAGCACCCGCACTAACGTTATTTCAGACGTACAAGTTTGGGAATCGCATTATTCCTCATGAAAAGCAGGATGACAGAGTTCGAATTCCGCAGCCCCTTATCCCAGAATAACGGGCTTGGTAGTGTGGAGGTATTGCTTACAAATTCGACCTGGGGGGACTAAATTTGGACTAAGGTCCTAGTGCTGACCAGGCCTACAGCTTTTGTCCTTAGATACAAGCAATGGCTTCCTGGTCTCTGGTAAAGCACTGTCATAGCCCTTGAGAAAGAGGTCCAGAGAAACCTACTGGGATAGTGGTAGTGAAGTGTAGGTACCTGAAATGGGTGAAAATGTCCCAGAAGATAAACTCTCTGGCTGTGTCTAGACTGGCAAGCTTTTCCGCAAAACATCTGATTTTGCAGAAAAACTTGCCAGCTGTCTACACTGGCAGTTTGAATTTCCGCAAGAACACTGACGATCTCATGTAAGATCGTCAGTGTTCTTGCGGAAATACTATGCTGCTCCCATTCGGGCAAAAGCCCTCTTGCGCAAATCATTTGCGTAAGAGGGCCAGTGTAAACAGCACAGTACTGTTTTCCGCAAAAAAGCCACGATCGCGAAAATGGCGATCGGGGCTTTTTTGCGGAAAACCACGTCTAAAGTGCTTTTGCAGAAAAGCATCCTGCCAATCTAGACATGCTTTTCCGAAAATGCTTTTAACGGAAAACTTTTCCGTTAAAAGCATTTTTGGAAAATCATGCCAGTGTGGACGTAGCCTCACACTGAATAGAAACCAAGCATAAAGCAATGACTGAACCTGCAGGCTGCCGTCAATCTGTTTCAGTGAAGCAGGATCTGTTACGGAGGGACAGATGCTCGGGGACTTTTTGTTCTTTGAGCTGTTGTGTAACACGCTGGAAAGGAAGCTGGCTACTTGGTTGCCACTACCTCCCTTGCATAACACAATAGGCCCACGGCCGTAAAGACCCGCAAGCCAGCAGTGAGTCATTTCTGCAGTTCTCTTTATATCAGTCCAAGCACTGCACGTCAAGTCCTTCCTATGCACGGGCAAGTGAGTTAGCAGAAGAGACGGTGCAAAATGGCAAGGAACTTGCTGTTGATTTCTAAAGCCCTGGTCGAATCAAGGGGTCTCAGACTATTGCGACACACCCTACATGGCTCGATTGGGGTCTGCAGGCCAGAGATTTGTGGGAAGAAGGACAAAATACAATGTTTACCATTTTATTTCTGCAGGAGGCTTCATGCAAGGTAAGTCCCCTATCCCTTCCCTTATTCCCTGTGCTCTGCTCTGGTGGTAAGAGGGGATAGACAGTTGGCAGAAGAAGACAGCTGGGGACCCCCAAGTCTCAGAAGCTGGCATAGACAACTTTGTGACACATGCTTCTGACCCCCTGGGATGGAGGCATGCTGGGGTCAAGAAGGGAGTGGCTGGAGAACATTGTGCTCCAGGAATCCTTGGCTGTGGGTGGCTTTTCAATGGCCCGACACAGCCAGGCATATTTTAGAGCAACCCCCAAACTGCTGTAAATTACATCCCATCTGTAACGGTCCCTGGCTGTCCCCAGGACTGAGAGCTGCAGAAAGGTGGTCTGATGCCACCTTTCCCCCTGCTCAGCGCCACTGATGATCCAACCCCCAAAGTGGCCAATTTCATGGGGAGTGAATTAGGCATTCCTTACTCAGGTTGGTAGGCTTATATTGACTCACATGGATAATCCTAATGATTTCAGTAAATATCTCACCATCAATCTCTGTAGGCTAGATTTGGACCTTACATGTCTTCAAGTAAATTACTGAATGGGCAACAGGCCAACTAAATAAGTAACCTTACTCATAGATTATTTTCGACTGGAAGTTTAATCGGTGTTTTTCTGTCGCTAGTCCCTCTTCCCCTCACATGATTGTTTCTTCTCTTGCTACTTATATGGGAACCACACATTGTATAATGTATGCTATACAATATTATGAATGAAACCTGTATCTAGATGGTATTCACCCAATGTATGTTTACTCAGCAGTGTTATTTCAGAATAACTAGTCCGCGTCTCCACTACAAACAGTTCTTTCGACATACTATCAAAATGGCTAGCTGGAGGTCTTCTTACTCGGACTCCTGTAACCCTCATTTTACGAGGGAAGTTGGAGGAAGAGTGCTCTTTCTTGGACTTCCTGCAGTGTAGAGCACGCCAAAAGCCGAATTAAATATTCCGACTTCAGCTACGTAATTGACATAGCTCAAGGGGCGTAGCTTACTTCAGCTTTAGCCCTGCTGTGTGGACATATCCCCACAGGCCAGGAAGGCAAAGTTGTTACTCTATTTCTCTTTTACTGCATATGAATATGGGCACTGCCATTCTAGATCAGATAAGTGGTCCATCTACACCAATGTTTCTCAACCAGTGGTTACAAGTACCCTATGGGGTACTTGAGAGACCTCTGGGGGCTACGTCAACACAACTGAAATTTGGAGAAAAGTGAATTTCTGTTCTAAGTTTTACAGTGCTTTATTATTTTTGTACTTTTTACACCCAAAATTTCATCACCTGCCCAGCTACAATTAAGTTGTTTAAACAAATGTGTTGCAATAGTAGAAAAAAATTGGTGTGTCTGAAAACTGTAGGTACTAGGAGTACTTATACTTTTTTTTGAAGGAATACTTTGTAAAAAAAAAAAAGTTGAGAAACACTGTTTTGGACCAGTATTGTGTCTCTAACATTGGCCGGTATTATCAGAATTAGAAGATGATACATGATAACTTGCCCATAGCAGTTATGGAATAACTTGCCCACACAAATAGGTTTTTTTCCCCAAGCTTTAGTTGGCTACACAGAATTTATAACCCTGCCATACTCCTGGGATAACTTTTTAAAAGTTAAAATACAGGCTAAAACTCCTAGTCTAGCACCCTCAGGGCCTGACCAGTGCCAAACCAGAGAATTTGCCAAACCATGGGCGGTCGTATTGTCTAGTAGCATCACCAACACTTCCACTGCTTGCTGGGCTCTTAGAAGACATTTAGGGGTAAATTAGAGCTAAATAACAGCACAGAACACTGAGAGTCAGGACTGGTGGCTGTAAACAAACTTTATGGGACTGTGGGAAACTTGGTCCCACCCATGATAAGTGGACATCCAGCTAACAAAAATAATGCTGGACCATGGATGTGCCGGATTAGAGAGGTTCCACCTGTAGCATAAATGTCTTCATATTAATTTATCCTCTCAACATCTAGTGATCAATAAACAACTTATTATTCTTACTTCACCATGAGTAGGAAAGAGGTTAAGTGACTTCTTCACGTCTCCATTCTAAATAACAACTTAACAGCTGAGCTGGGATGAGACCTCAGGAGGTCCTGACTCCCAGATGGTGCTCTAACCATTAGGCAAGCTGTCTCTCTATAGAAAAGAAGCTGCTTTTTGATTGGCGCTTTAAGTCTTCCCCACCACCACTGGAGTGTTCTGCACTCCCGCCCCTACCCTTACCTCATGGACGTTGCCAAAAAGCCAGTGCACTGGAGGGCCTGGAAAACTCTTCAATGCTTGGTTCAGTTCCATTCTCCACTTGTACAGCTTGATCACTTTCAGCACCATGTAGGTCAGGCAAAGCACCGCAGGCGGGTAAAAGATTCGAGAGACATCCTTATGCAGCCAGAGCCAAACATCGGTGACCAGTTTCAGCACCACAAATGTCATCTTCCTCCTGTTTATGTCCTCTCCCCACCAGCAAATGCACCATCCACTTACTCTTTAAAGGTGTTCCGGTTGGCAGACTCGTCCAATGATATTCAATGGAGCCGAGTCACACATATACCTGGCCGTTGATCGGCTGCCAACTTTCCCTGGAGGGAGAGGACCAGAAGAAATGTGTTTAGGTGTGCTCCACTTGTGATTGCAACACCCCACGTATTACTCGGCTCAGCATTGCAACGCCTCACTGATGCAGGTTCTTTAATTTATGACTCCAAAGTAAGAAGCCTGGATTAGAATATCTGGGGCTGATGTAAGAGAAACTATATTGTTATGCTGCCTCCCAGATGCCAAAATAAATGCTGTGATAGTAAGGCGACAAGACACCCTATCTCTGCCAGTTGAAACCCCGATAGAAGTACGTGTCAGCAGCCAGCTGGAATTTGGAGTAGAACTTGATATAATCAAGAATCACGTAAGAGATCAGAGACAAGGCAAGACTGAAGCAGGGGGCATGTTATCCTACCTCTTCTCGCTCTGGGGTTTCTTATGCTTTCATCTGACCCCTCTGGTCCTGAGCACAGCTGGAGATGAGATACTTGATTAGATGGACCATAGGTCTGATTTAGGCCATGTCCACACATCCACTTATGCCTGCAAAACTGATGTTGCTCAAGGTGTAAAAAACCCACACCTCTTCTCGGGGGTTTTCTTGGTGCCAAATAAAGTTTGTTCTATGCACCAAGGAATGTGCAGATGTGCACCACCAATATCAACACATGCTGCCGGATGTGGGTGCTCTGCTAATCAGCTGGGTTGCATTTCGATCTCTGCGGGGCTGCCGCCCAAATGGTCCACATACGGAGAACCCCGCTGCTGAGCAACGTATGTTTGGCCAGCATCAGCACTTGTGTGCACAGAGCTATCCTCTCCCACCAACATCGCTACCGCCGCCCATACCGCTGCTCAATTCGGTGGGCGAGGGGAGAGCTGTCTGCTGCCAGCCGAGAGCATCTACATGAGTGTTCTTACTGAAGCACAGTGGTTCCGGTGCAGCTATGCTTGTAAGCTATTTATATGGCCTTTGTCTGAGACTTCCTTATACTCCTGCATGGATGATCTTCTCTGAGCGCTTGCCAGAGTCTAGCCTGAGAGAAAAACAGCTGAAGGCTGATGTTGGAGACTACCCAACAATGTTACAGGGGTAATTTTGGAATCACAGATCCTTGGAGTAACGCCAATGAGAGTCCACCATTTCCATACAAGCAAAACAGATACTCACCAGCTGGACCGAGACTTCACCGGACTTGCCTGGTGGGCTTTGGAAGACATGTTTTTCACCTCGCTCCATTGATTTGGCCAATGCTTCCAATATACAGTTTAAGGCAGGAGATGGAGTTGATCTACAATGAGGGTATGTCTAGACTGCATGCCTTTTTCGACAGAGGCTTTGTTGACAGATACTGTCGAGAAAGCCTCTGTCAAAAAAGAGCGTCTAGACTACAACCAGTTCTGTCGAAAAAGCAAGCTACTTTTTCGAAAGAGAGTAGACACTCTCTTTTGAAAAAGCACACAGTGTGGATGCAATAGCGCCTTTTTTCGACAGATCTCTGTCGAAAAAAGGTGTTATTCCTCATAAAATGAGGTTTACTGCCGTCGACAAAACTGTTGCATTCTGTCGACTTACTATCAACAGAATGTGGCGGTAGTGTAGACGCAGGTATAGTTTTGTCGACAAAAGCCCACTTTTGTTGACAAAACCCTGTAGTCTAGGGAAGTGACACACAGGGCCGGTCCTACTATGAGGCTAACTGAGGCGGCTACCTCAGGTGCCAGATTGTGGAGAGGCGCCACTAGGACCCAGAGTGTAGAAAATTGTGTCTGCGGCTGGTGCAGATGTATTCTCTCTGCTCCAGATGCACTGAGATGGTCGAGGGCTGTGCTAGAGGAAGGAGGCAGAATTGAGACCTTTCAAAGTTTTGGCCCAAGCGAGGGGGCATGGGGGCATCATTTGAGCTCCCTGCCTCAGGTGCCAAAATGTTGTGGGCTGGTCCTGGTTACACCGTGGGTTCAACACCCTGCACCTCAATGCAGCGACTGGGTTTTGATGTAGCGGCTGGGATACTTCTCATCATTGAAGGGACGCAAAGGCCAGTAGTCAGAAGGGAGAAGCGTTGTTATCGATGTTTATGTTTATTTGGGGGCAGGGAACGTTGTCTCATTCTGGGCTCAAAGAGCCACCTAATACAGGGAGGCACATCCTCAGTCATATTAATCATAATGAATTAATTGATGGATGGATTGATTGATTGATTAGCAGTTTTAATAATAGCAATTACTATCGAGCCATCTTTTTAAACCACATCCAGCACTGTGCCCATCTCAGCACCTCCCAGGCTTATCAAGTGGACACACAGAAATGAATTTCTTCCTCTTAAAGTTACTGAGCAGCGAATCAGTTCCCAGGACTGTAACTCCTGAGGTGTTTGCACTGGCAAGCGGGCCCGCAAATGGGGGGGACAAAGGGATCAACTGTATGGGGGCCTGGGGCCAGCAGCAGTTGGGAGTCCCGGGCCCCTTTGAATTGCTGTCTGAGTGCCGTTCTGTGGGCTGGGGGGAGCACGCTCCAGTCTGGGCAGTGCTAAGGGCTAGCTGCTCTTGGCCCTGCCCCTTTTGCTTGAGGCCCTGCCCCTTCCGGAGGCGTGGAGTTGGCCCCCACCCACACACCTTTCTCAGGGCCGTCGGCCCCGCTGCTGGCCAGCCCCTTGGTGTGCACTAGCGGCGGCGCTCTGGGCGAGCCACCTCGACGAGTGGCGTAGAGCTTGCTGCGCCGTGGCGACAGCACCAGGGGACTGCTGTGGACATTTCCGTTGTTTTCTGCATTGTAACTGGCCTTTGGAAATGTCCCATAATCCCTCCAGTGGCCACTCTGCTCATTGTTTTGGACTGGCTGGCTGCCCTGCCTCAGGACGGGTTGTTTCCAGCTGAACTCACAAGACAGCACGCTGACACCACCCAAAACACACCATCACTGCCCCTCCCTCCCACACACACACGCTCCCTGTCACACACTTTCCCCTCCCCCCAATGTAGTAGGGCGACCCTAGAGCAATTAGTTTGGGAAACCTGCATCCAGGCGGCATGGCAGGCTCTTCCCAGAGCATTCCTCAGGCAGTTGCTCAGCGGGATGGCTCCCAGGATGCACTGCTCTCCGGGCCTTTGCAAGAGCTGCTCCAGTGGCTGGGCCCTACC